GCTCTGTGCCCTTGAAGGGAAAGAGCAGCCACGGGGGCCAGAAACTCCACATTTCCCATGACATGGTGTGCGCTGAGGGATCTGCCTCCCTCTGCTGTAACGTTCCTGAGGGCAAGGGGAGTCTTTCCAGGAATGTTGTAAATGTCTGAGGAATTCAGTACAAGGAGCATTGTGGTCTATCTGTCTTTAACTAGCTGATAGTTGTAGCTGTACTTGGCAGGGAGAGGGGCAGGACTGGGATAACAGCACCTCCTTTCTGTGTCTGAAACTAGTCTTGTGGATGCCTCTTCTGGTGCTAGGAAGATACAGTGTATCAGTGGTGATACTTGTACAGACGCAGTGAGCACAGTTGAGTTCAGGTAGCATGGTGATGAGTGCAGGATAAGAGCATAATAATTGCAGCACAGCCCCCTCATACACACAAGCCTTGGTTCCTGCCCCAAGAACTTTACTTTCTAATTCCGTCCCAGATAGAACCAGTCTGTCACATGCAGTGCCCTGGATGCCATTAGAAAGTCAGTGGTTTCCATCAGGTACTACAGAATCCCGTTCCAAGTGCAGAGGAAAACAACTGAGCTGTGTCTCTCTCCCACTGCTGGGGAGCACCGGTTGGCAAATGCTGACTTGATGGCCATCCCTGAATGGGAGAAGCTGCCCTGAGTTGGAGAAGGCACATCATTCTTGCATTGGTCACTTCTGATAAGCTTCAGCTGCAGAGCATTTTGAGGACGAGAGTTCTAAGCAGCATTTAATTTGTCACTTTCCTTATTCTGCCTCATCCCCTTGGGTAGGTTATGCTAGGTCCCGCCCTTAAAATTCAGTTACTCCATCAACTTGAAAAGACATAATCCCTTCTTTGGCTCAGCTGCAGAGGTCCTTGGAGGGAATCCCCTTCACCCCACATGAGGCCTGGAGCAGTTTGCAGGGAGCGTGTGTCTTCTCATGTCAGGACTTCACTGAGGTGCAGGGTCATTCCCCTTCCTTTCTCCCTACCCCACCCTTGCAGCATAGTTAGCTCAAGCTCCATGCTCTGGCATCCTCTCCAGTTGCATATCACAGGCTCTGAGCTAAGAAACTGGGGCTGTACACTCTCATATGGCTGCTTCCCGCACCTTGAGTATGGAAACACCAGCCTGAAGCTCTCCCTGAGTTTATAAATAACCCTACTCCATCCGTGTGAGTCATGTGCTTAGGCTGACACAGTGCTGGGCTCTGAGCACACCGCTTGTGCGTACAGGATATCCTCACACAGACTCTCTGCTCTTCCAGACTCCCTCCTGCTCTGACATCCTGAGTTTTTACTTTGAGCCCATTATGGGCCCTTGAAATAACAGTTTCATGGATGTTCTGCAAATGCTTTAATTTACATGCTGCTCACAGCGCCAGGTCTGTGTGAAGGCACCATGATGGCTTGGGCTTGTCTTACACTTCCATCAGCTGACTGCTAGTGATACTTAGGGGCTATTCTTATTCTCCACTACACCCATTTGTGCACATGGTTATATGATCTGTTGGTGATTGTGTACAAACAGAATATGTGCACACGAGAGTTAGAAGCTGCCTTAAAACCTGGCCCTTCTTTCCCTGATGTCAGGTTCCCACACCACCTACATTACCTGCCCCCATGCCACTCACTTTGGAATTAACATTCTAAGTGTTAGTGTGCACCTGGGTGTGTGAGCATGGAACATAGGCTAAAACCAGTGTTTGGTCTAAGCAATCTGAGTGTAGATATCTTTCTGGAGATAAGTTGAGTATCATCTGGGCAGTGTGAGAAGTGGGTTAGTTTCCTTTCACTGTTATTGGATTTCAGCAGTTCAGGAAAGGACTGTAAAGAGCATCCTTGTTTTCCTCCCACTCTCAAATAATGGCATTGTCCTCTTTTGCAGATGTAGCAGAGAAGGACCCAGATGGGGACTGCAGGAGGCTGGCCTGGCAGAACCTACTGCTAATGGAGAATTTGCTAAAAAAACTCAGAAGTGTCCCTTCCTAGTTGTGGGGGGAAATTGAAAACAGAGGTGACCTCCACCTAACACTCTTGCCAGCTGGGTGTTCATAGGCACTGCTGGGCCCCTTCACCAATCACCTGGCTGGAGAAGAAAAGGGACAGGGTGTACAGCTAAAGCCAGGGAGCCCAACTTGACACCTGGACTTTGTAGTGGGGGCCAACTTAGTGAGCTATTTGCTATCCGGTACAGCGTGTACAGATGCAGGAAAATGGACTAGTGCTGCCATCCTCTCTACACCTCCCCCTCTCCAACACACTGCACCAGCTATTTATAGCCTTGGCAGAGTTGAATGTTCAGCTAAAAATATAATGAAGACCTCACAGCAGACTTCTCTTCAGGAAAACAGGAGGAGTGGATGTGGCCACTTACCTCATGGGGCTAGCTCCATGGCATCCCTGTAGTGAAGGGTTGAGGGTCTCCCAGCAGTCAGCCTTTGGCAGACAAGTTACCAGCCTCCTGGGAGGGATCATAGATGAGGGTTGGAAGAGACCTCAGGAGGTCATCTAGTCCAACCCCCTGCTCAAAGCAGGACCAACTCCAACTAAATCATCCCAGCCAGGGCTTTGTCAAGCTGGCCTTAAAAACGTCTAAGGATGGAGATTCCACCACCTCTCTAGGTAATCCATTCCAGTGCTTCACCACCCTCCTAATGAAAGTGTTTCCTAATATCCAACCTAGACCTCCGCCATTGCAACTTGAGACCATTGTTCCTTCTGCTGTCATCTGCCACCACTGAGAACAGCCTAGCTCCATCCTCTTTGGAACCCCCCTTCAGGTAGTTGAAGGCTGCTATCAAATTCCCCCCCTCACTCTTCTCTTCTGCAGACTAAACAAGCCCAGTTCCCTCAGCCTCTCCACGTAAGTCATGTACCCTAGCCCCCTGATTATTTCCGTTGCCCTCCGCTGGACTCTCTCCAATTTGTCTACATCCTTTCTGTAGTGGGGGGCCTAAAACCGGATGCAGTACTCCAGATGTGGCCTCACCAGTACTGAATAGAGGGGAATAATCACTTCCCTCCATCTGCTGGCAGTGCTCCTACTAATGCAGCCTAGTATGCCGTTAGCCTTTTTGGCAACAAGGGCATACTGCTGACTCCTATCCAGCTTCTCGTCCACTGTAATCCCCAGGTCCTTTTCTGCAGAACTGCTGCTTAGCCAGTCAGTTCCCAGCCTGTAGCAGTGCATGGAATTCTTCCATCCTACGTGCAGGACTCTGCACTTGTCTTCGTTGAACCTCATCAGATTTCTTTTGGCCCAATCCTCCAATTTGTCTAGGTCACTCTGGACCCTATATTTACCCTCCAGCATATCTACCACTCCTCCCAGCTTAGTGTCATCCACGAACTTGCTGAGGATGCAATCTATTCCATTGTCCAGATCATCATTAATAAAAATGTTGAACAGAACGGGCCTGTGGGGCACTCCGCTTGCTACCGGCCGCCAACTAGACATCAAGCTGTTGATCACTACCCGTTGAGCCCAACGATCTAGACAGCTTTCTATCCACCTTATAGCTCATTCATCCAATCCATACTTTTTTTAACTTGGTAGCAAGAATACTGTGGATTGAGTGGTTCTTTGAGTGGGATGGAGTGGTTTTTTGTAGAGGATGATTCTGGTCAAGAGTTACACATTGTGAGCAGCTCCACTGGACTCCTGCCTACTGAAAATATGCATAATGTTAGAGCAGAGACACTGTCCACCAGGGATGGTGTGGGGGAGGAAGGGCTCTCTAGTTTCTAGTTACAAGGTGTCTTTTTCCTCAAGTATGCATAGTCTTAATATGGTTGGAAGCTCTGCAAGCAGAGGAAGGAGACTGAGCACTTCACATGCTGCAGTCTATACTAGCATTCTATTAAAGAGAACCTATTGCTAAAAGCTGGAGTTGTCTTGTTCTTAAAGTGGGACTGAAACGAGTTATGCCTTAACACCAAACTGCTCAATATTTGTGAAATCTCACAAAGGAACCCAGCCACTCCAACCCTCCTGTTTAGCATCAGGTAGTATGGAATGTGTTTTGGTGGCTGCTGAAAACACATTGTTTCTCTTGCCAGGGATAACAGCAGGGACTAAGGCCATGCCTATGCTAGCATCCCCTGAGCAACATAAGTTTTGCCGGCATAAGCGCTTGTTTTTATTATGTCGCTGGGAGAGCTCTCCTGTTGGCATAATGCAGCTATATGAGCACTTAAGAGTGGTACAGCTGTGCTTCTGTAAGCTTTTAAGTGTAGACATGGCCTTAGATAAGGACAGTGCTAAGGTGAGATTGAGGGAGAGAGACTGACAGGTCTGATCCTGCCTCAGAGCATAACCTAGATATTCAGTCATGAGGTAGGGGGGCTTGTCTTCTCCTTTTAGAGCAAAGCCCAGTGAGAATGGTCCTGATGTTTCACTAGGAATATTTTCCCAATTAAAATCAAGCACAGAGTTTTGAACTTTATCCACTTTAAATCCAGGGTTTGGTTTGGGAAACAGGCTTCATGTTAAGAAAACTGTGCAGGATAAATTACTCAAACTCCAACCTACGCAGGAGTGGAGGAGGTAGAATTTCTTCTTCCATAACTGCAAGCTCTACTCCAAGTGATCCTTTGCTAAGTTAAATGCAAGATCTAGAGGGACTAGTTAACAGGGAAGAAGTCTCCTACTTCTGCAGAAGGTACTGATTTGAATTTTGATAAGGCTCTGCATGACTCAGGCACTGCTGGACCCATTCTCTCATAAAATGGTATATAAAAAAAAAAAAGCCTTGCTTCCTCGAGTTTTGACTCTCAGGGAACAGCTCACTGTGTTGTCCTAGTGGTTGGTCCTTTAACAGACCAGAGCTATCTACTATTTGAGGCCTTGTCATATCATTGCGAAGTGTATCTTAACTAAACTGCTTTCTGTATGCATAGACAGTTAGAGCTAGACATGCTCGATTCAGCACTCACTTTTCTGCTGCTCCTGCACTCTGGGATTAGGATTATCTGATGCCTTAATTAGGATCGGACATTCATTTTTTTCCTTAAAAATTTATTGAAGTATTAAAAGTCTCTCTAAATTTGAACATTAAAAAAGTAAGATAAAAAAAGTAGCTGTCTGAGGCCCAACCTGTCCCTCTGCACTGACTTGGTGCTTGAGCTTTAACAGTTTTGCTTATACATAACAAATGAATCTTCTTGGTATGACCCAAGCAGACTACAGCATCAGGCTGTGCATTACTGAAGTATTTGACTTTCTGCCCTTAACAAGCCTAGACCAGGTAGCTGGGGACTGTAGCAATGGCCAGGCTTCCTCACAGCTGTATGTGAATGTTGCCAGTTTACATAGTAAGCCATCAGGGATCCTCGACTTCATCAGCTACATCCTCTTCCACCTCCTTGTTGTCTTCCATGCTGTTGTGGCGAATTCGTTCTGGGACAGGGTTCCGGTTCCAGGGGATGCCCAGCCCTCTGTGAACTGCCTCAATGGTCCGTTCATTCACATAGTAGGTCAGGTTTACACATGGAGTTCTTTTCCGCATCTCCTCCAAGTATCTATAGGCCTAGGGGTAATAGATGGTAGGGTATCAGGCATGAGATGTGTTTTTGTTATTCTCATATCACAGCAGTGTGGCAAAAAGCATCTAGATATGGTGCATTCAGATACAGTTTGCTAGGCTGAGACCTCCCAGCCTATTCAACCTGAGTTACCAGTGCAGGGCTGGCTTACCAGTTCCCTTCAGCTACCTTTGGGGTTTGTCCAATATTGGTATTAGCACAGAGGGTGCCGCAGTCTCAGTTCAGGCACCACACTAAACTGTTCAGTGTTGTTGGGGATTCCTAGGAGGCCTGTGAGATGACTCTCTAGAGGGACTAGAGCCTCCCAGGTTAGAGGAGTGATGGATACTCACCAGCCCTTTCCAAGATTTAATAAAAAAAAAAAAAAAAAAAAAAGGAACCAGGGCCTTCACTAACCCCTAAACTTTTAGTAAACCCTGGAACTTTTGCTTGTTTTTGCAGAAGAGCAATAACATGGAAACCAATCGATAGAATGAAGAGTGTTTTGAATAAAAGCTGTGATTAGCATTGAAAACCAAAGGAAGGGAGGACACGGATTTTCCAATCCCAGCCCTCTGTCCTCTGCCTTGATACCTGAAGCACTGTCAAGGCTAGAGATGTCAAACTTTGGTTTCAGTTCTTCTGAAGGTACCCAAATTTCTCAGACCCACTTTAAAAAAAAAAAATAGTGAAATAGAGCATTCCTGAAACAAAATATGTAAAATTGACAAGAATGTCAATTTCATTGCTCCATGGTTGAGCCTGCCAGCCCCAGGAGCTCTGGCTGGAGGCAAGGTTCTTGGGGCTGCTAGGGTCCAGGGCATCCCTGCCATTCAGATTAGTCCAGAGCCAAGGACTCTCAGGCTGCCCTATGCCTGAGCTGGGAGCCAGCTGGCCCCAGGAGCCTGGAAGCCCTAGGATCTCTGGCCCTGGAATAGTCTGCATCATAGGGCTGCCCCAGACTCTGGGAGCCAGTCTCAGGACTTCCAGGTGCCAGCTCCAGTTGGGGCTGCCAGACTCTCTGCTGCAGAGCTGTCAATTCCAGAACACTAGCAGGTTTCCAATGGATGGATGTGTAACATTACACATTCCATTACACACGTAAACCTGTTACTGGTCCAGGAAAAGTTTGATCAAATCTGCACTAGACTTGGCAAAATGTTTTGCCTAACGACTCACCATTTTTCATCTGAGAACATAAGAACGGCCATACTGGGTCAGACCAAAGGTCAATCTAGCCCAGTATCCTGTCCACCGACAATGGCCAGTGCCAAGAGGGAATGAACAGAACAGGTAATCATCAAGTAATCCATCCCGTCGCCCATTCCCAGCTTCTGGCTAAGCTTCATCAGAAAATTTCTGAGTGGCTCTAGTCAAGACAAGCTTGTAATAAACAGGTTAGTGCCCAGAGCGGGAGAGCATGATGCTCAGCACCTGGCTGGTCCAGAACAGCAGGTTACTTTTAGTCCAAGGCTTGTAATCCTGTGCCATTCTGCACTCTGCTGTTTGGCACTTCCTGCTCTGAACAAATGACTCATCACTTCCCCAGATGGCTACAAATTAATGATTTCCCATTTTTTCTGGGCCAGCCAGGTGGCTGTCGGAGGCGCAGTGCAATTGCAGAGAAATGACCAGAAATGACCTACTGCTCCTCCCTCTCTATTAATGGGAATGGTTATGAGTATCCCAGGAGCCCCCTCTGTATATGTTACTCTCCAAGTCTGTAAAGTAAATTTCTTTCTCCCACCACAGATTAAATATGGATTCAGTCTTGCTGCTCCTTCGGCATACCCTACACTGGGATCAAAACTGCAAGCACCACACAGTGCTTAGCAGTGATACTTCAGCTCTCTTACAGGGCAAAGGTCAACATAAATACTCCAAGGGTAGCTGTCTACTTTGGCACCTCTACACTTGCGAAGGTTGAGAGTGTACAACAGTGAGCTGCATTCCCTAGGGATGCAAACATTTAGATTGTACGCTCCTTTGTCTTCCTCTATACAGTGCCAGAAACATGCATGATGCCCAAATAATAACTTACCATCTGGAATTCCTCCACCTGTAAGTAATGTTCAACCAGAAAGCCCAAGACATCGCCTAGGCGGATGGTACTGTCAAGGTCTGGCTCGTCTAGGAGAAGCTCACACTGCCTGATTGCCTCTTTTGGGTCCTCAGAGTAAACTCTAGTGAAAGAGCAGGTTGAAACTGTAAATATCCCACGGGGGGAGGAGACAGATTATCCCCTATTGCATCTGGCTCTCAGCTGAACCACAGTTTGAGACCTGTGTATGCCCCATAGCCTCCCTTCTGTAAGATGGACATCCTCATAGTATCTTAGCTCCAACTAGAAGGGTAGGCAGAGGCTTCATAAATCAGCACATGAGGCACTCGCCTCAAGGCTACCTTTTACTCAAAAGTCAACCTGTCATCCCCTACACCCATATGGTTCCCTGAGGCCAAAAGTCTCATGAGTGCTTTCAGAAGTAAGTCTCCTGCATGGGACTGTGTTGCTGCTAAAGCAGAGAACTTTCCTCAGATACACATTTTCATATACATTGTGTGCTCTGAGCACTGCAAATTACCTTCGAGCCTGGATGAATCGCTTGACCAAAGCCAACTTGCTTTGAAAAAGTGCCAGTTTGCTCTCCTGTTCTAAAGGACTTCTCGTCTTTGCCTTTGACAGGCACTTGAATGCCTCAGTCAGTGCTCCCTGTGCTTTCTCATAGTTCTGATATTCATCGATCTCCACCTACAAAGAGAAGACAAATAAGATTAGTGTCCTGTTCCCAGTCCTGGCACAGTCAGGGAACTATGATGCGATTGGAATAACAGAGACTTGGTGGGATAACTCACATGACTGGAGTACTGTCATGGATGGATATAAACTGTTCAGGAAGGACAGGCAGGGCAGAAAAGGTGGGGGAGTTGCGTTGTATGTAAGAGAGGAGGATGACTGCTCAGAGCTCCGGTATGAAACTGCAGAAAAACCTGAGAGTCTCTGGATAAAGTTGAGAAGTGTGAGCAACAAGGGTGATGTTGTGGTCGGAGTCTGCTATAGACCACCAGACCAGGGGGATGAGGTGGACGAGGCTTTCTTCTGGCAACTAGCAGAAGTTGCTAGATCGCAGGCCCTGGTTCTTATGGGAGACTTTAATCACCCTGATATCTGCTGGGAGAGCAATACAGCGGTGCACAGACAATCCAGGAAGTTTTTGGAAAGTGTAGGGGACAATTTCCTGGTGCAAGTGCTGGAGGAACCAACTAGGGGCAGAGCTTTTCTTGACCTGCTACTCACAAGCAGGGAAGAATTAGTAGGGGAAGCAAAAGTGGATGGGAACCTGGGAGGCAGTGACCATGAGATGGTCGAATTCAGGATCCTGACACAAGGAAGAAAGGAGAGCAGCAGAATACGGACCCTGGACTTCAGAAAAGCAGACTTTGACTCCCTCAGGGAACAGATGGGCAGGATCCCCTGGGAGAATAACATGAAGGGCAAAGGGGTCCTGGAGAGCTGGCTGTATTTTAAAGAATCTTTATTGCGATTGCAGGAACAAACCATCCCGATGTGTAGAAAGAATAGTAAATATGGCAGGCGACCAGCTTGGCTAAACAGTGAAATCCTTGCTGATCTTAAACGTAAAAAAGAAGCTTACAAGAAGTGGAAGATTGGACAAATGACCAGGGAGGAGTATAAAAATATTGCTCAGGCATGCATGAGTGAAATCAGGAAGGCCAAATCACACTTGGAGTTGCAGCTAGCAAGAGATGTTAAGAGTAACAAGAAGGGTTTCTTCAGGTATGTTAGCAACAAGAAGAAAGTCAAGGAAAATGTGGGCCCCTTACTGAATGAGGGAGGCAACCTAGTGACCGAGGATGTGGAAAAAGCTAATGTACTCAATGCTTTTTTTGCCTCTGTCTTCACGAACAAGGTCAGCTCCCAGAGTGCTGCACTGGGCAGCACAATATGGGGAGAAGGTGACCAGCCCTCTGTGGAGAAAGAAGTGGTTCGGGACTATTTAGAAAAACTGGACGTGCACAAGTCCATGGGGCCGGATGCGCTGCATCCGAGGGTGCTAAAGGAGTTGGCAGATGAGATTGCAGAGCCATTAGCCATTATTTTTGAAAACTCATGGCGATCGGGGGAGGTCCCGGATGACTGGAAAAAAGCTAATGTAGTGCCCATCTTTAAAAAAGGGAAGGAGGAGGATCCGGGGAACTACAGGCCAGTCAGCCTCACCTCAGTCCCTGGAAAAATCATGGAGCAGGTCCTCAAGGAGTCAATTATGAAACACTTAGAGGAGAGGAAAGTGATCAGAACAGTCAGCATGGATTCACCAAGGGGAAGTCGTGCCTGACTAACCTAATTGCCTTCTATGATGAGATAACTGGCTCTGTGGATGAGGGGAAAGCAGTGGATGTGTTATTCCTTGACTTTAGCAAAGCTTTTGATACAGTCTCCCACAGTATTCTTGCCGCCAAGTTAAAGCAGTATGGGCTGGATGAATGGACTGTAAGGTGGATAGAAAGCTGGCTAGATCGTCAGGCTCAACGGGTAGTGATCAATGGCTCCATGTCTAGTTGGCAGCCGGTTTCAAGCGGAGTGCCCCAAGGGTCGGTCCTGGGGCCGGTTTTGTTTAATATCTTTATTAATGATCTGGAGGATGGTGTGGACTGCACTCTCAGCAAGTTTGCAGATGACACTAAACTAGGAGGCGTGGTAGATACACTAGAGGGTAGGGATCGGATACAGAGGGATCTAGACAAATTAGAGGATTGGGCCAAAAGAAACCTGATGAGGTTCAACAAGGACAAGTGCAGAGTCCTGTACTTAGGATGGAAGAATCCCATGCACTGCTACAGACTAGGCACCGAATGGCTAGGTAGCAGTTCTGCAGAAAAGGACCTAGGGGTCACAGTGGACGAGAAGCTGGATATGAGTCAACAGTGTGCTCTTGTTGCCAAGAAGGCTAACGGCATTTTGGGCTGTATAAGTAGGGGCATTGCCAGCAGATCGAGGAACGTGATCGTTCCCCTTTATTCGACATTGGTGAGGCCTCATCTGGAGTACTGTGTCCAGTTTTGGGCCCCACACTACAAGAAGGATGTGGAAAAATTGGAAAGAGTCCAGCGGAGGGCAACAAAAATGATTAGAGGGCTGGAGCACATGACTTATGAGGAGAGGCTGAGGGAACTGGGATTGTTTAGTCTCCAGAAGAGAAGAATGAGGGGGGATTTGATAGCAGCCTTCAACTACCTGAAGGGGGGTTCCAAAGAGGATGGAGCTCGGCTGTTCTCAGTGGTGGCAGATGACAGAACAAGGAGCAATGGTCTCAAGTTGCCGTGGGGGAGGTCTAGGTTGGATATTAGGAAACACTATTTCACTAGGAGGGTGGTGAAGCACTGGAATGCGTTACCTAGGGAGGTGGTGGAGTCTCCTTCCTTGGAGGTTTTTAAGGCCCGGCTTGACAAAGCCCTGGCTGGGATGATTTAGTTGGGAATTGGTCCTGCTTTGAGCAGGGGGTTGGACTAGATGACCTCCTGAGGTCCCTTCCAACCCTGATATTCTATGATTCTGTCACAAACCAAACTCCTCTGAGAATGGACAGGGACATACCTGAGCACAGGCATCATAAAAGCCAGCTAAGAGGTCAAGGGCCTTTCCTTTGGTATAGAAGCTAATGATGTTCTTCATAATCTCTGGGTCCCTTCGCCAATCCAGTGACTGTAGGTAGTTGGCTGCCATGATATAAATCTCCCTCTGTCTGGAGACTCCTGCAAAAAACACTATTTTCTCCGTGTCGCCAGACTTCAGCAGTGCTCTCATTGCCTGCAAACAGGGGAGAACAATCATTGCTGTTAGCAATGTAGAAACATGAGGAAGCAAGCAACCAGGCAGAGACGGGTAGAAACTCCTTCTGGATACCCTTTCTACAAACTGAGGTACAATTCTTGGAACGTGAACAGGGAGATCTTATGCTGACAGAGGGACCCTGCAGGGTTTGAGCTCTGAGAACAGGCAACTCCGGGTGGGCTGGCAAGTATTATTTAACATGAGTATTTTTGTCTTAAACCAACTCATGGTATCCATGAGATTAGTCCCTCAAATCAATCATTTTACCTGCAGATTAGAAGTGTATTTTGGAGCTCCACACCTACAATGCCAAGGGGTTCAAACGTTAGTACTGTAGCTTCTCCTCACCTTCAGCTTGTTTCCTGCTTGAGTGTATTTCTTGGTTGCCATGTGGTAATTGCCTTGCCGCATGCAGCAATCGGCAACCTGTTCCAGCAGTTCTTTCCTAGACTCTTCAGAGAGCTCCTTTGAGTCCTTAGAGACAGTCATCTTCTCGGCCATCTCCTCTGTGATGGTCAGGTTCTGATTCAAGCAAAGCTGCAGGGCTTCATGGTACTGGTGAAGAGTGAGAGAGCAATGAACTGCTTCTAACTAAATGTTCTGCACCAGAAGGACCTCAACCACATTTAGCCGGCTAGAATTCAAGTCTACAACTTTTTAGCCTTTTCCAACTGTGTGAATGGGTGCATCTGAACTTTGCAAAGGCCAGATAATTAGGACTCAGACAAACTGTGCTGCAGAATCTTAACTTCAGAGATGGCCCTAAACCAAAACCCTGCAGCTGAAGACCCTGATCTTTGAGGCGACTCCGAATCTGAAAGACTAGGCTAGGCCGTAGCTATATCAGAGGCTGAGCCAAAACCCTGCATCAGGGAACTCTGAGATATCAAAATCCAGATAGAAATTCTGCACCTAGGGATTTGTTGCAGTGTGGGGAGGGCTCAGGATGCAACTCAGCTCACTCCTGAGCTCTGCTCTTCTACAGTCACATACTGTAGAGTTCCCAGGAACACTGCAAAGACTTTACCTTTTTGGCTGCTAGCAGCAACTCCACGGCCTTCTCGTGCTGGGCGTGTTCAATGAAGAAGTCAGAGCAGCGTGCCAGCAGGGCTGGGTCTGACTTCTCATCCAGGTCCTCGGCAATCAGCTGGAGGGCACCAAACTGCTGTGTGGCAAAAGCCAGCTCTAGTGCTTTGGAAAAGTGTCCTGCCTGCAAAACCAGAGACAGCCCTTTAGTTTTTCCCTCTCTTGTACTGATTGCATACAGGTTTCAAGGCAACAAGCCATTAGGAAAGAGACACCAGATTTCTGCAGCAGAGCTCTGGCAAAATCAGCAGCTGCTGTGCCTCCAGTCCTTTCCTTCTTGATCAGCAGGCTCTGTATGAAGGTCTCCATTAGTTACTAAGGCCAATTAACCCAACCTGAGGTGCAGAGAAACATACAGTAGCCCATCCCAGCTGCCGTGACCTACATGTCTGCCATTCTGCTGCAGAGCTACCACACTATAAATTCAGAGAGTGGGGACCTACTGGCTGGCCAGAGACTCAGAGGATTCTCTGTATTCTGCCTCTAGTACAGCACTTGGTGCAGAACTTGTCTGCTCAACTTCAGCAGGCAGACAGAGGAAAGGAGGCTTGCACAGCTAAGTAGCAACCCCTATTAACTGATATATAAAAAGCACTGATTGCCTGTGCTGGGAGTCTTCTGCAGTGATGCAGCGCCTTCCCCACCAATATTGTCTTGTAGTGAATGCGGGCTGATTTATTGGCATTGGACAAATGCAGCTGGAGGCTACAAAGTACAAAGTGAGTTCATCTCCCAGACATCATCTGAAATGTGATGTATGTCACAAGTGAGGTGAAATAGGTGGACTCGATCAAGTCCCCTGGGAACACATATTGATATTACCAAAGCCATCACTCAGTTTGATACTGATTAAAGATTAAATATGATGAAATTTAATAAGGACAAATGCAAAGTACTCCACTTAGGAAGGAACAATCAGTTGCACAATATGAAATGGGAAATGACTGCCTAGGAAGGAGTACTGCAGAAATGGATCTGGGGGTCATAGAGGATCACAAGCTAAATATGAGTCAACAATGTAAAACTGTTGCCCCCTCATCCCCCCCCAAAAAAGCAAACATAATTTTGGCATGTATAAGCAGGAGTGTTGTAAGCAAGACACTGGAAGTCATTCTTCCGCTCAACTCCACTCTGATAAGGCCTCAACTGGAGTATTGTGTCCAGTTCTGGGTGCCTCATTTCAGGAAAGGTGGACAAATTGGAAAAAGTCAACAGCAACAAAAATGATTAAAGGTCAAGAAAACAACCCATGAGGGAAGATTGAAAAAATTGGGTTTGTTTAGGATGGAGAAAAGAAGACCGAGGGGGGACATGATTACAGCTTTCAAGTACGTAAAAGGTTGTTACAAGGATGAGGGTAAAAAATTGTTCTTGTTAACCTCTGACAATAGGACAAGAATTAATGGGCTTAAATTGCAACAAGGGAGGTTTAGGGTGGACATTAGGAAAAACTTCCTATGGGGTAGTTAAGCACTGGAATAAATTGGCTAGGGAGGTTGTGAATTTCCATCATTGGAGGTTTTTAAGAAGAGGTTAGACAAACACCTGTCAGGGATGGTCTAGTTATTAGGTAGTCCTGCCTTGATTGCAGGGGACTGGACTAGATGAGCTCTTAAATCCCTTTCCATCCTACACTTTTATGATTCTATTATTAGAACAGCAAGTACTGCTGCAGGTCAATTTGAGGGGCATTGGCAGAGCTGTAGAGAGGGCCCAGGAATGGATTAACAAGGGGTGCTGCACATCAGGAATGGATGCAAATAATCAGGTATTCAGCTGATTTGGTAGCTGACCACTGTAGTGTCTTGGTCTCAACTGAAAGCTTTATACTTTGCTGAGTCAGAGTTACCTTGTGGTACAACATGACTGCTCTGTCCATTTGTTCCCCCTTCTCTTCATAATAGCAGGCTGCCTCTATCATGTCTTCTGGGGAACTCAGCAGAGCCAGATTCATCAGCTGGTCATCTAGATTGTTCTCCTACTCAAAAGTAAATAAATAAATTAATGGAGATATCCTATCTCCTAGACCTGGAAGGGACCTTGAAAGGTCATCGAGTCCAGCCCCCTGCCTTCACTAGCAGGACCAAGTACTGATTTTGCCCCAGATCCCTAAGTGGCCCCCCCAAGGATTGAACTCACAACCCTGGGTTTAGCAGGCCAATGCTCAAACCACTGAGCTATCCCTCCCCCCATCTTCAAGCAAATACTCTATCTATGATTACTTCCAGCACAGCAGACTTCATAGTGCCATTAATTACCTACCCTACAGTTTTATACTGCCACCCATCACCACTGTATCTGACCACCTTCCATATAAAATCTGTAGCAACAGCAAAGTCCCTAGTGAACTTCATGGAGTTTCTGGTCTTCCCTTTTGTGGGGTCAAAACTCTGCTTGGGGCAGGATTTTTGGTCTGTTTGTTGTTGATTTGTTTATTTCAGGAGAGGGTTTTTTGGGGGGAGGGGTACTTGGGCTCTAAAGGGGTGTCAGTATTGTGAGTGTCGCATTACAGACCCCTTCTCTCCTAGAAGGTGTGGGTAGAAACCAATATAATCAACTACACAGTTATATAAGCAAGCAGTATGTCATACTTCACATAAGGAGAAGGCCCACGCTAATCTCACAGGTTGGCTACATTTTCTGATGTACATGGCCTGAGAGATGCCATTGCTGGTGAGCTCTTTGCACTCAGGTGTACATGCTGTCGTACCTTACACAAGCGGATGGCATTGTTAAATGCCTGGGCCCTAGTGTAGAAGTGCACAGCCTGCTTGATTTCATCCTGGCTCTCGTACTGGCGGGCCAGGTGATAGGATGCTGCCCAGTTTCCTGTTTCATTCGCTATTTCAGCAGCCTGAAAAGAGAGCCAGACCCTTCACATCATGCCCCGATTAAACACAAGAATGTGGACACTCCTGGGAGCAGTGGGAAGCAGGCTGCCTTACCTTCTGGATGTTGCCCTGAAAGCAGTAAACACGGACCAGGGAGAAATAATCCTGAGCTAACTCATAGTATCTTAGTGCGGATTCCATATCTGACTGGCTCTCCAGATACTGTGCCCACCATTTCCACAAGCTCCTAGAAAAGAAACAAAATAAGTGATGATGATGGTAATTAATCATTGGAATACACTACCAGGGGAAGTGGTGGATTTTCTCTCTCTTGAAGTCTTCAAATCAAGACTGGCTACCATTCAAGAAGATGTGCTTTAGTCAAACACAAGTCTTGGAGCTCAATACAGGGGAAACTGGATGAAAGTCTCTGGCCTGTGTTACTCAGCTCTCTCAGTCACAACTCTAGTAGCACTAGCTTGCCAACACAATACAGTGGGGCCCCTTCTAATGAACAAGATTCATGACCAAAGCAGACAAATGAACAAACTTCCAGCACTGCATGATATAATTCATTAGCAAAAGTGTTCCCTACTAGCATGTTTCCTCTCTATTGAATTAACCTGGAAAATCTGAATGCCTGGCAGCAAAGTGTTAAAACAAGTAATCTCAAACCTGAAATTCCCCCCTCAGGATACCACTCCTTCACACACTTCAGGTAAGGAAGGATGTAACATGGCACTAACTTATCTTTCATCTTGTTGACATAGATCTCCAAGGCTTGTAAATCTTCAGAGAGCATCCTGGGCACCTCAAACCTATGTGTGTCCGATTTCTCATAGCTGTGTAGAAAAAGGGCACATTAGATGGTGGATATCAGTGCTTTGTGGCAAACCACTCAACTGCTATGTTAATCCATTTTATTTTAGTTCTTTAGTCTCTAGAATTAACAACAATACTAATAATACTCTGTCCTTATACAGTGCTTTTCATCAACTGCAGGAACAGTGCTGGCCCCCGAGTGCCAATACGCCAAGGAAAAATAAAGGCCAAGGTGCTGCTGAGATAAGACCAAGGTGTGGCGATCACTGAGATAAAAATGGGTGCAGAAAAATCAAAGATCTTATTTGGGCCAAAGAGCCAACATGCACATCGAAGCCCCCAAAATACCTAGCACAGCTTGTACCAGGAATGATTGGGAGGCTGGGTAAGAGATGGTAAAGGATATTCAATACAGATCTTGTCTCCTCACCTCATACACAAGTCTTCATATTGCCTGCTCATCTCCACTGCAATTTCACTCTCTAACCCACAGTTGGAAGGTTGCTCCTTTAACTGTACTAACCCATCTATCTGCAACTTTCTCCCCTCCTTCCTTCCCATTAACTGAATCACATTTTCTGCTCACATCGCCTCACACACAAAACCCTTCTTTACTCCTGAGCTAGAGCATGTTGTGACCTTACACAATAAGAGAACCATGCATAAAATAAAATTTAAACCAGTATGATGCATTCTAAAAACAACTTCCCCACCAACTTTCCCAGGATTTCAGCAGCCACTGAAAAGAATTCTGGGTGCCACATAAGCATCAGGTTCATAACACATGAGCCACAATGAATCCCTGGGGTGCCAGGTGGGTCAAGAACTCTCCAACACAAGGGCTTATGCATACAACAAGGTGCAAAAGGGAAGGCTGGTCTAGTGGTTAAAAGCATAGGATTTGGAGACATGAATCCAAGTTCTAGTCTTGACTCCACTGCAGACTTTCCATGTGAACTTGGGCAAGTCAGTTAACCTCTCTGTGTCTCAGTTTCCCCCATTGCCAGGTTTATTTCAATAATAGTTTGAGATCCTCAGATGAAAGGTGGCAGAAAAGGGGAAAAACTGGTTATCTGCCAGTAGCAGACAGCCCTACCAATTTTGCCTCTGCTGTCCACAGCAGTGTGCTAAAACTCAGGATTTCTTGTGTTCAGAACTAAGTTCTAGGTGCTCGGCCTTTTCTACAGGAAGCTGCTTACTAGTTGAGTGCAAGATTGCACTCTGCAGTGGCCTCCAGATGTTTGGCATAGTTGTAGTATGTGGTGCGCAGGTGAACCCGATCATGAGTCTCAGCTACTTCCATAGCTTTCTGCCACTGGTCAGAAGCCTGGTAGAACATGTTCAGGAGGTCGTAGCGCTTGCAATTCTTGTACAGCCGCTCTGCATCTTCCTGAAAGGAGAGCGAACAAACAGTGAAAAGTTATCTGGATTTGATGAGTACTTTACAGGGATTATATCTAAGCAGTAATGAGTGATAGCTTTCTGATTGCCTTCTATGATGAGATAACTGGCTCTGTGGATATGGGGAAAGCAGGGGATGTGATATATCTTGACTTTAGCAAAGCTTTTGATACTGTCTCCCACAGTATTCTTTCCAGCAAGTTTAAAAAGTATGGATTGGAAGAATCATAGAACATCAGAGTTGGAAGTCCAACCCCCTGCTCAAAACAGGACTAATCCCCAACTAAATGGACTATAAGGTGGATAGAAAGCTGGCTAGATCGTCGGGCTCAACGGATAGTGATCAACGGCTCGATGTCAAGTTGGCAGCCCCAGGAGTCGGTCCTGGGACCGGTTTTGTTCAACATCTTCATTAATGATCTGAATGATGGGATGGATTTCACCCTTAGCAAGTTCGCGGATGACACTACGCTGGGGGGAGAGGTGGATAGGGTCCAGAGTGACCTAGACAAATTGGAGGATTGGACCAAAAGAAATCTGATGAGGTTCAACAAGGACAAGTGCAGAGTCCTGCACTTAGGATGGAAGAATCCCATGCACTGCTACAGGCTGGGGACCGATTGGCTAAGCAGCAATTCCGCAGAAAAGGACCTGGGGATTACAGTGGACAAGAAGCTGGATATGAGTCAACAGTGAGCTCTTGTTGACAAGAAGGCTAACGGCATATTGGGCTGCATTAGTAGGAGCACTGCCAGCAGATCAAGGGAAGTGATTATTCCCCTCTATTCGGCACTGGTGAGGCCACATCTGGAGTATTTCGTCCAGTTTTGGGGCCCCCATTACAAAAAGGATGTGAACAAATTGGAGAGAGTCCAGCAGAGGACAACCAAATGATTAGGGGTCTGGGGCACATGAATTACAAGGAGAGGCTGAGGCAACTGGGCTTATTTAGTCTGCAGAAGAGAAAAGTGAGGGGGGATTTGATAGCAGCCTTCAACTAACTGAAGGGGGGTTCCAAAGAGGATGGAGCTAGGCTGTTCTCAGTGCTGGCAGATGACAGAACAAGAAGCAATAGTCTCAAGTTGCAGGGGGGAAGTCTAGGTTAAATATTAGGAAAAACTATTTCTCTAGGAGGGTGGTGAAGCACTGGAATGGGTTACCTAGGGAGGTGGTGGAATCTCCATCCTTAGAGGTTTTTAAGGCACAGCTTGACAAAGCCCTAGCTGGGATGATTTAGTTGGTGTTGGTCCTGCTTTGAGCAGGGGGTTGGCCTAGATGAACTCCTGAGGTCTCTTCCAACCCTAATATTCTATGATAGGTAGTGCACTTCTGAGCAGTTAATTACTCCAGACCGCGGATTGCATTGCATAGTAAAAAGGATTAAGACAGAGGGATTTGAACCTACTAAATATACGTAGCCTGGAATATCAGCATTGTGACTGAGAAACTGGATGTTTATGTGAAAATAAAGAAAGCACTCAGATCACAGCATTTACTGGGTGATATTAACCAGGGGTGGGAGTGACATGAGCAGCCACCAGTCATAAAACTCTGATTGTGACACAACACTAAGCCATTTGATAATGGAGGTTATCAAATGGCTCATATTGGAGTCACTCACTGGCATAACCATTCTGGGCTGCGGTAGGAGAGGCCCATTACTCCAGTTAAGGAGTCTGGGAGAGCTTTGCTAACTTTGTAGCTGTTTTCTCACCAACAAGGATTCAGCACTTAGAGAACCCTCTCACTCCACATTAGGTCCCTGAGACACGGATTATGTTCTTAGATTATTAATGCAGAACAAAACCTGATGCCTTTACTTATGTCAAACTTCCACTGACTTCATTTAGAGTTAGAGTCTTAGGATTTGGCCCATAGTGACACAAGCAATAAACAAATTTAAAACTGCTATTTTTAATCTTTGAGATAGACTCCTGTGTCAAGGACTTTTCCTGCCCCACTCAACTGCTTTCCAGCTGAGCTCTGTGTACAGTAATGGAGATACACTGTGGCAGGACAGAAGGAGCAATTTCTCTTTCCTCCTGATTCCCATTTCTTTTCAGAGAAAAATAAACCCTAGATATGGAAGAGTCCTATTAGTTCCTATTCTAGACCCTCTCCTTACTAATGTAGGATTGTTTTCTACAGAACATTTGCTACTTTCCCCCCCCAAAACTAGTTTTAAATGTTCGAGCAAAAGGGGCTTTCCTCACTTCCATTGAGCCTAATAAATCTCACTGTCAAGAAGCTTTTTACAAATATCTAGCCTGAATTTTCCTAGTTACGCCTTTATACCACCCAGAAGAATTCCTCCACCATTCATACCCTTCAAATATTTGTAGGTTGTTAGCACATTCTGATCTTAGCCGAATTCTACATATTCAACTCTTTCAAATCTTTCCTCTTGTATATGAATCCATTTCAGGATCCTAACAATTTGAGTTGCTTTTCTCTGAACTTCCTCCTATTCATTAATATTTTTCTGGCAATGAGATGCTTAAATTTGAAAGCAATACTCCAGCTGCAGTTGCACCATGATGTGTAGACAGACCATGAAATCAAAGCTCCAAGATGTGGTGCCTCTGAAAACAGCGCCCAAAATTGCAATTTCTTATCTAATTCGTGATCTCCTATGAACCTTGGATTCTGTCAGCTGTGCTGCTTTCCAGCTTTCTACTCCCCACTGAGTATGATTTTCCTAGATGTATTAACTTGTATTTTTCCAGGATGTATCTTCTTTTCATTTTCTACCCATGTTTTTAACCTCTTGGACCCTTTATTATTTCTGCCCTCCCTGGTATTTGCAATGCTTCTCAATTTAGTATCATCTGTCAATTTTGTTAAAATGCTGTTTAGTCCTTCTTATACAGATCATTAATGGAGACATTAAATAGGAGCTAACCTGGTACCAGTACATGGCTGCTTATCATTACCCTTACTTTACAGTTCTCCAGCTAGTTTTCAGTCCGCATGACAACGTGACTCTCAAAGCCAGTTTAGGTCCCAATTTTACTGGTGGAGTAAAGATATTATTCAAAGGGCTTGTCTAGACTCTCATAAAAGGTGTCCAAAGGGCAAGTTGTATTTTAACATGCCTTAGCGGGTGTAGGGTGAACTGTTGGCTACTCACTAGGTTTCTCCTCTACCACCTAACACGTGTTAAAATACAACTTGCCTTTTCTACACTCCAGTTTGAAAACGTGAGTTAAAATGTTTTAGCTAACCCATTTTAAGAAGACACCATTTATTTTAGCCTAGACAAGTTCAGAGTGATTAAGGACAGCCGAATCAAGCCCTAAGGTTTGTGAGACAGCATATCAAATGTTCCACAACAGTCCAAATATATATTACCTAAATAATGTTTTCCTCATCCGGTATTTTTAATGCTATATATGTTTTTTTTAAAACAATCATGTTTGCCTGGGAAGATTCATTTGTTATAAACCTATCCTGCTTATGTCTCATTATTCTGTAATCTCTAGAGGTCTAGTTCAGCCACTCTCACTCATATTGAGTAGTGCCCATAATGCTGACTGTAGAACAAGGTCCTACTCAAGGTGAGTAAATGGCAGAACTGGGCCCTACATGTTTAGAAGGTGCACTCCACCCCTATTATTATTTGTTTCAGTATTTCAATAGTGGTATAAGTTTGACTTGCAAGAAAATAACTGTCAGAATCGCCCCTCTTTACTTTTTAGAAAATTAGTATTGCATTTACTTTTCTCCAAGATTTTTGCACCCTGCCCAGACTTTGCAAAAAGTCTTGTCATTAGTTACATTGTCTTCACATGCGAGGACGCATGCATATCTCACTCAGATTGCTGACTGAGTCTGGACTTTGCTTATTACTAGAAAATGGGCAAGTTGCCACAGTAAGCCCTACCAGCATGCCCAGCTGAATCGCCAACATGGCCACTCTGGCTTCCACCTCTGGTTCTTGTTCCGCCTCCCTTAATGCCTTAGCTCCTCTGGCATGACCCATGTTTCCGAGGCACACTTTGGCAACATCCAGCCTCTGCGTCTTCACACACATGCGAGCCATATTCTCCCAGACTGCCTCACTACAAGAAATGAGAAGGCAAAGGGGATTTGTTATCCTGAAGAACCTCCCCACATGATAGAAATAGGGATGGGATTCGCTGGAGAAAAGCTTTCTCCAGTACAAGGACAGTCCTCAATGTATGCAGAGAATTTGAAAGAGGCAGTGAGAGGGGAAAGAAGCAGTCTGTTAGAACTTTTACACTTACTGTATATAGGCAAACAGATACACTATAAGAAGAGCTTGCACACACTTGCTGTGTGGGGACTAAGAGAAATAAAGATGGGCTTCAGACACAAAGATCAGGGCAAGAGCTGAGCTTTCACCAAGTTAAGGCCTTAAGGGGGTACTGAGAACTAGGATTTTGTTTCAGACTCATCTCTAAACAGAAGCAATTATATTTATTATGCAGCCTCTGGGTGGATTTGCATCATTTAAAATGTGAAAATTAATGATAATGCCTACAACTGGTAGCAATAGTCTCCAGCCAGGTACTGCCTATCATTTAAAAACAATCTACACAAAACTCAAGAAAACTCTTGGGTATGCAGATAAGCCTTGCCCTGTGCTGTGAAGCTCAGTGAACTGGGACTCTGGGGAATTGAATGCAGTTCTTGTGCTGAGGTCTTTGCACTGAAAATGCTCGGCTGCCAGTCTTCCACAGTTCAATCCAGTAGTCGCATATCAGCTAAACTCAATAGTCAGGATGATGCATAGGAAATATCTGACCAACTATTATGTCTTAATTTAAAACTCAGTCAGAAATCCCAAAGATGCACTAACAGCCAGCTCTGGAATGTTTTTCTTTCTTTTGATCCTGTGGTGCGTAGAGTGAGAATTTCCCAATGCTAACACACTGATCTGAAAAGAGCCATTAGCACTATGAAATCTCTATAAAGCTATAGAAATGACAGTTTTTGCTAGATGCTATCCTCACATCCAGCATTGAAATTAAGGAATAAATACCAGGACACAAACATTTCATGGTAGATCTCATATTACACCTGAGGTTATTTAAAACAAAAAAACAAACAAAAATCCCAGAGATAAAATTGACTTTTGTTCAGTCTGTACAGCACCTAGCACAATGGGGTCCTGGTCCATGAGGGTTGCACCTGGGCACTACAGCAATACTCTCTATAAATACATCCAGGGGGAAAACACCAGGGAGGCGCCAGAGCTATTTAAGCTAAAGGACAATGCTGGCACAAGAACAATTGGATATAAACTGGTCATGAACAAATTCAGGATGGAAATTAGAAGAAGGTGTCTAACCATCAGAAGGGTGAGGTTCGAGAACAGCTTCCCAATAGGAGTTGTGGGGGCAAACAACTTATTAGCTTTAAGAGAGAACTGGACAAATTCATGAGTCTAGTTGTATGACAGGGTTGGTTGTGATGGTGGGGATGAAGTCCCTTCCAATTTATGTTTTATGTTCCTAAAGCTCAAGCTTCAGGGCTTCAGCTGGTCACCAGAAGGGGTCAAAAAAGGATCCCCCCGCAGTGCATTCTGGGTTTTTTAATCATCTTCCTCTGAAGATCAGTGATGACCATGGTTGGAGATGGGACACAGGACAGCGTGGTCCAGAGCTCTGAGGTGGAACCAAGAATTCTCTCTCTCATGCTTAGCTGGCTGGTTTTGGCTTACATGCTCAGGGGCAAACTGATCACGATCTGTGGGGGCAAGAAGGAATTCCCCCCAGGTCAGACTGGCAGTGACTTGGTGTTTTTTAGCCTTCCTCTGCAGTGTTTGGGTGCGGGTCACTTGCGGGATTATTTGGGTGTATCTCATTTAATCAATTCCCTGATATTGCAGGGGCCTTGGGCACTAGTGCACCTTAGTCCCTCCTATTTTCTGCCTGTGGCATAGAACAGTCTAGTCTCCTGCAAACTGTAATACTTTGATCTCATTTTGGTTGTTGGGTTTAGTGTGTGGGTGCTGGGTGGTGTTGGTGGACCATGGTATGCAGGAAATTAGACTAGATGATCTGGTGGCCCCTTCTGGACGTAAACTCTATAACTAATAACAGCAACAACTTAAAGTATAATCAATTTCAAAAAGATGAATTAAATGCAGGATCAAGTCCTGCACCTGCACCTCAGTCTCCTTTGCAGGTTTTGTGGTTTTACAATCACATTTTTCTATTTTAAAAAAATGTTTTTCTCTTCCCTCTTGCTGTGGGAAAGAGGCACACAAACAGGAGAAACTGACTAAACAGGAAACAGCAAAACAGACTAGACACAACGTACCCTCAAACACACATAGTGGAAAACATTGGAAAAAAAACCACAGAAAAATGTTTTCCCCCTAATCTTTCCAATGGGAAGATTGTGTGTTACTTGTAACAACAACAACAACAACAACAGGTACAACATTTCCGTGCTGATGTCCTTTTAAATATAGGAGATACCTTTAAATCAGGCCTAGGATTTTAGAGAGAAAATTAAACAGAAAAAGATCAGAAATAATAAGTCACAGGCAAATTTTCCATGGTTCAGAGGTTTGGTTCAGTTAAAGTGCTAAAATGTTTGTTTAGATGCTTATACAAATTTCTTGCATCTGCATTGCCAGGACTGGACATGATGCAAAAACAGCTTCCTCTTGCATTACATTGACATGTCCAGACCCTGCCAGAACCCAAAAGGTGCATGAAAAAAAGAAAATTAATTGGGGGCAGGGGAGGGGGGAGAGAGACGAGTGAAAAGCCTTATAGAAGTTTCAGGGCCAGATCCTCAGCTACTGTAACTCAGTGTATCTCCACTGATCACAGCTATGCTGATTTACATCAGCTGAGGATCTGGCCCTCAATCAAGTTTTGGGAGATGGTTTGGGTATTTTACCTGAATGACTGTCAGCAACAAAAACTAAAACTAGCAACAGCTGAAGAAAATACTTTAAAAAACTAGGCTGCATTTGGGTATCATCTTTGGAACTCATTTGGATAAACAAAAAGAACAAAGCACATAATCAATAAAAAATAAGCTATCAAGACAGGAACTAAAGACATGTGCATGAGTGTATTTCATTAAAGGAGAAATATACAAGTTCATGTGCTTCATTTTATGAAGGCTGTAGGATGCTAACAGAAGCTGCCAATTGCTGCCTTAATCTGTCTAGTGGAACAAGACTACATGTTGGGGTTTGTCAGTCTGAAGACAGCATATCTTTGAAAGGGAATAAAGATATTAAGAGTCTGACTTGGCCATGTCCCACAATGTACTTATATAGTCACTGAATTAAAAAAACAGGAGAGTATTCAAGCAATCCTATTTAGAATCACAGATAGATCATGTTTCTGATTAACTCAGTCACTGTCATACTAACACCCCCTCACCCCTCCACTCCTTCATTTTCATACCATTTCAAGAATAAATTGATAGACTCTCTAGCAGTATGTCATTAAAGTGACATTAAGTAAGTAAAGTGGCTATTAAGGATTTAGTGACAATAAACACCACACTAATTCATGGTTTATATGAAGATATCCAGGATGCCATACATCGTCAGGTAATCAGGGGAACCCTTCAGGATCTCCTAAATACTCCCTCCCCCAGCATTGGACAGCTCAGCAGGAGGTGGATTGCACACACCAACTTCAGCACTGAAGTCAAATTTGGCTGGACATATCTGACCTTTGGAAATGTGTATTTTGGTTAAGTGGCATTTGGGTAATTGAAGATTGACTCTACTGACACAAGGAAATATTAACACCATTTGGGAAATTCATAACATAGCAATGGACATGCTAAGAGCAGGCCACAAACACGAGTCTGGATCTGTCTATGAACATAATGCCTACCCCCTTTGATCACAGTGCTCCCCACTCCCCTATCCCTCAGAATGACCAAGAGAATGTTTTGTCTAACTAATCTGAACCTCATCCATAAAAAGGAGTTCACATTTTCCTGGAAGAACTAAGACCTCTTTGTATGAACTGGGTTTAGATTCCATAGTGAAACCCTCTTCCAGCCCTATCCTAGAGTTGCAGCAGAGAGTGCTTCTTTCCTGACAGCACCTACCTCTCAACAAGAGCACTCTCCATGGTAGGGATTTATGCCTGTGTGCCTTCATGCTTCCTTGCTACAGCACTTCGTGGAAAATCAGCTTGCATTTTTATTTCCAGCAGCTAAACTCTGCACTCCATGCACCACACTCACTCTGCCACAGACCATGAAAACTGCAACTAAGTCCTCATCCTGACATGTTTGTGGGCATCACGTTTTTGGCATATAAGAAAATAAAAGGTTTTACTAACTTCCCTTGTATTTCACAGTTAACATCACCCCACATTTTAACCAGTTATGTTTGCCTAAAGGAACTGATCAACCAAAATACATCCACTCCCAATGCAGGTGATACACTTGTTGTTGTTTGGCAAAAATTGCCTCATACATAAAAAATGGATATAAAGCATGGCATCTGAAAATCTGTATCAATATCTTACATCTAATAGTATCTCTTACCCCCAAAGGATCCCAAGTGTTTTGCAAAAATAAACTGATATACAAACTATACATAGGATTTCTTTATCCACCACTGCAATGCAGCTACATCTAGGTTGGAACACTGGAGCTGTTTAACAACACACAGAAACACAAACGAGTGTAGGTCAGTAAGTGAGAAATATTGTATTCATCTGAAACTGCAGGGGGAATTCAGGGAGGGATATTGTAACTCCCAGCATTGAAATATGGCCAGGACACTGGGATTAACCCTTCCAAAATTCTTGCAAACTGGCCATGGAATCTTTAATGATCCCAGATGGCCAATGTGACGGGTTTCCCCCGGGGTGCCACCTGGAACTGGGGTACCACTGAGCCCTCTGACCCACCAGCCTGGGCTCCCGTTCACACTGTACTGCTGTGACAAGTTGCAAAGCCCTCCAGCCTGCACTTTCACCAGCATTCACACAGATAGGGACACACCTAGCTGCAGTTACATGCAGGCTCTCTAACCATCAGCTTCCCAGCCTAGGATCCCACAGCACTACCATCCTGCCCTGGTCAAATCTGGCCAGTATAT